GACGTTTGTATGGGTGTAATAGAGCAGTCGACAAGTAACGATCTACTCGATAAAGCTTGAATACAATTCAATACAATACTAATCATCAGAAAACAGTACAGTTTGCGCTGAGATGTTTTAGGGATACATACATACATACATACATACATACATACATACATACATACATAAGCGAATAATTCGTTCAGAAAATAAAACTTTGTGGTAATCTAGTGCAATATCGTTTTTATTTAAAAAGTAATCCAAAGACTATTGTTTGCCGATCATACGTACATACATACATACATACATACATACATACATACATACATACATACATACATACATACAGACATACATACATACATACATACATACATACATACATACATACATACATACATACATACAAGCGAATAATTCGTTCAGAAAATAAAACTTTGTGGTAATCTAGTGCAATATCGTTTTTATTTAAAAAGTAATCCAAAGACTATTGTTTGCCGATAGTCTTAACTGTGCCAAGTGTCTGCATTGCGCGGCACAAACGCGAACACATAAGCATGTACACCTGATGCTCAGTTGAGACATAACAAGTAGCATCTTATGGCGAGTCTAACGACAATGACAGAAGTTCAGTTTTCAGATTTTACAACCATGCATTTTCGTGCACCAGTTTTGATTGCTATCTGTTGGCTGCCCATTAGGATAAAAGAGCAGAATGGTCATAATGTTGAGAGCAGAGTCAGAGAGTTGATAGAGAATTTATATAGATTAGAGTTGCAACAGCACTGATTAAATGCACGAGTAATACAGAAGGTGAGAACCGATTGTTAATTTACCAACTTTCCACCTGCTCAGAGGACGCAATAAGCCATCAGTCCACAGTAAGCGGATAGACAAAAAACGCCTACTGAGCTAGTCAACTCCGACATCACTTCACCGCGCAAACCAGTGGCGAGAGGTTTGAACGGAATCACGTATAACAACGAAACACACATAACAAATAGAGTGACGTGCGTGAACCTGACAATCGCAAATAACATGAACACTACTTTATATAGGTAAAGGAACAAGAAAAAAAACAAGAAAAGTTGAACATGTATACCAGGTAAATGATTATTAGTGGACGAAAATGACCGCCTCGTATTTCGTTTTTTTGTCGACGATTGCTCAAAATTTTGAGCAATCGTCGACAAAATGTGGACCACGGCGACGAGACGAAGACTGGAGAAGATCACGACTCAGTCGCTGGTGTTAAGACATTTTCCATACCTTCGGCTAATCACACGTGCGCCACGGGCAACGCACCTTTCAATTCATTCTTAGTGTAATAAATCCCAGGACTATTCTCCGTGTACAGATATTGGTCAAATCCTATTGATAATGATTGGAACAGTATTGACGAAAGACACTCTGGATCGTTTATTACAATGCCGATCAAAAAGAGAAGAGAAAACAAGTTATTCTCAACCTGATGCCTAATCTTCACCAAATGGCAAACAAACCGCATTGTTTCTCAAAGGAAAAAGGCAATCTGCACTTTTGGTCGTTGTCTCCGCTTCCTAATGAGGCTTCCACCTTGAGGTAAACATTTTATATTGCCGGTGGTGTGGAAAGCATTTTCAACTAAGTTACCCATCTACAACAAGGAGTCGTCGTCTGATATGTGTGTAATAAAGTGCGGAAAGCTATTCAAAACATTTTAAAGCATAGCATATTGTTTTCGTCGGGGTGTGCAAACGACTCTAGTGATAATTGAGATTAACTTTTTTCAGATTTCTAAGGACTCCATCAAATGTGGATGTCTAAATGACATTATCTCACACGTTTCACGGGGGCCGATTTTTACTGGCGAGAAATGTGCCCATAGGTGAGAAATAAGGTTGACGCGAAAGGCCTGTATATGCATAGGAACGGTAGAATTCATCCGAATTGATCACTAGTATGCCTTGAAGTAATTCGTTGGTACATTCGATGATCAACAGTCGTTCTAATCCTTTTGTCCACACTGTGCACAAACTCATCACCATCACAAGAAACAATCTTCCGCCCACTATCCGTAGAAAAATAACCGATATCACCGGCCGAAGATTCGCGCTAGATGCTTCATGAACATTTTAACCCCACTACACAATCTCATATGCTCCAGTTAGTTGGGAAGCCGGGATACACCCGAGAAACTGGACCACATCGACGTTGATAACTTTTCCTGAAAACAATAGCAGGTCATTTTGTGACAACTACAGAGTTATCAGCTTACTCGATGCGAGAATCAAGGTTTTCGCGCAGCGTTTGCTCGACCGTTTCACAGCAATAAGACCAAAGTTCTGCACCCCGACGGTGTGGACAAAATGGACCAAATATTCAAGTGACACTACCGTCATAAAGTGGTTCAACGGCCAACAGCGTTTTGTTTCATAGTTAGTTATTCGACTTCCGTGGAACGCGAATCCCTTTGGAACACGATACCGATGTTCTTTTCGAAAACGTGTTAATCTCATGAGATCTTATCAACGTAACACATGGATCTGTATCTGCAGTAGAATGGCAATACTTTGAAAATAATACCCGGAGAAGAACATGGATGCTTACTATCTTGTACTGCTCAACTTTGTCGTCGATTGGATAACGGATTGATCAGATTACTTACAACTTGCGTTCACTTATTTCGAGCTGCCTGACCATTTTGCCGTCTTTGGCGACAGTTAAGTTACTCTCCAAATCCGGATCGATCTCGAGATCAACTTATCGGAAATCACAATCAGTTCCAATGCCCAATAGTAAACCGATCGAGTCCGTCGACAACTTTGAGTACATTGGTCCGACCACGGCGAAGCGAAGAAAAATGTCCGACCGCAGCTTAAAAGCGCTCGAAAAAACCCCGAGGCAAGACGAACGATTCAGCCCCAAGATCAAATTACAAACTTTTTCTACCTTGATCCCGCTGTAAACCTGCGAAACTCCGTTATTGAGTGACAGGTGGTCAACGATTGGAAGTACCTGACCACTGGTGCGTGGCTGTGAGTCAGATGGCGAAAACCAAAATTGAAATGAACCATTCGGGAACGCCGGTTTTAACACTACACGCTCGTACGAAGACTTATGATGCAATGTTAAATCTACCCTGTTTGGGGAATTATGTGATGTGCTACCATGTGTTGAAAAATGAGATGTTAGATTTTGATGTCTATCGGGATTCATCTCTTCCTTTGTGTACCATATTTTGATGTGATAAAAATCCAGCAAAGGTGTCCCAGCGAACTCAAAGTGAAGTCTTTTAGAATAGTTTCGGTGATCATACTACAGTCCAAGCTGGGATTAATTCATTCGAACTCTGGCGTAAATCACTATCTGAACCGCGAACAAAAAGGAAGCTGACTGAAATTTAGGCAACGAATTAAACGGGGAAACATCATGACATTAGACTTAACAGTGGAACTTGCTTAGGATCTCCGCATTGATGAAACAGACGGAACAGTCTATCGGTCAAATACAGGACACAAATCAACAGACCGAGGTGTATCGTATGACCGAATTTGTCCCATAACACACTCAACGTGGAATCGCGTCGGGGCAAACGAGTTGTAGTGCGATCAGATAATTCACTGGCGCGAATCAGTAACATGAATAAATCCCGAGTGCTATCGAATACCCAGTCGGAAAATGCTTCCGGTCGTGTGCGCTCGTGTTCTGCGCCGGGAATCGGTGTACTCGTGGCATCCTCAAACCATTCACCCGGATAGGATCTCGGATGCCAGGGTACGAGGGCTCGTTGATCCGCCGAACCACCACTAACTGAAGCGGACGATTCGAATGGTCGACGAGTGCTGAGGAAAGGTTGCATGCACACTTCGTCTGCCGGACGAGCGGAATAGGAAGCTCGATAGTATCCG